TTCAAAAATCCACCCTTGTTTTTTTTTTTCTTCAAGTGTCTCAGCTTTTTTCTTTCCGCTGTATTTAAATATGCGGTACCATCCAGTATCATCTGTCTAATATGTATACAACATCTTTAAAATTTGTCAATCTTATAATTTCACAACTAAATGCCTGAAGCCATAAAGAGATTCTCACCCGAGTCCCGATAAGGACGCCTCCCTTTCTGTTCCTGACATCCCGACTCACCCTTCGCCCGTGCAGGTGCATATCGTACATGAAGACGTACACGAACTGCCTGCTCCAAGGCTACGGAGTGCTCCCGTCCGCGCCGCGGCGGATCCGCGTGACCGGGGTCCAGAGTCGCCTGGCAGCGGTGGAGTGGGCGAGCCCGGACCGGCTGGGGGAGACGGTCACCTCCTACGACCTGAGCGTGAGGAGGCTCGGGAACGGGACGTACGCGAGGAAGGCGCACGTGTCGAGTCCGTACGTGCTGGAGGGGCTGGAGCCCGGCGTCGACCACGAGGTCTTCGTCGAGGCGGTCAATACGCACGGGATCGGGGAGCCGTCGGAGCGAGTCATCTTCAGGTGAGGTTTTTCTGCATCTCGTCTGCCTTAACGTTTGTTTGCGTTTCTGCGTCTCGTTTTTTCTGTCGTGTCTCGGGAGATGCGTTTGGCTTCGGTCGATGATCGCAGGACAGAATCTGGGTGTCTTTAAAACCCAGGGTGTCGTGTATATGAGTCTAGCTCGGTCTAAGCCGTCTTCACGTCTAGTGGTTCTGACAGCTGGCTAGATTTTCACGCTTCTAATTACTTCCAATGCCTAAATTAGAGGGAAACTAATGTAGATGCGTACAATGTTGCTGTTGAAACGGTCACCGTTTTCTTGTAGATCATTTTCCTTTCTCGAAGGGAACTTTAGTTCTTTTTTTTATCGTCTCCAACTCTTTTTCATTTTGGTTGTTTCATGTTTCTAAAAATCATTTTCCACAGATTTACTTAAATTGTTTTTGCCCGGTTACGATCCCCGCTAACGAAACCAAGGAAATCCCGCCTTAGGACCCTGGACGCGGTGGAGGAGACGGAGCTGAGCCTGCCCGGATTCCAGTTCAACGAGACGACGTGCTGCGTCGACGCCCGGCTCCCCGACGGTAAGAGTTCGGACGACTGAGTCCGGTTCGCTCGTGGTGTTCGGGGGAGGGGGGGGGGGGGGGGGGGGGGGGCGGAAGGGGGGGGGGCGCCGGGGAG